ATAATATACTTAAAGATCGAGAAACTTAATCCACCTTCCTTCACAAAAGATACATGATTGTTACGTCTTATAGACATGTGTAGCAACACTCTAAAACCACTTAAATGGAGTACTTACATAGCGAGAAATACTGCTGCGGTGCAGTTGTGCGATCAAGACCTCGTGCTGTAGTCACTTTAACATGTGCATCCGGTCATGATGTCACCAGCCCTGATAAAAGAATAAAAATATTTCGTAAAGTTGGCTGAGTCAGTGTTTTAATATTTAATTTAGTCCGACCATGATCTCCCGTGATCTCAATTTTCAAAGATATTTTTATTATTTTTAGTTTATTTTTAATCCAAGAGTTACGAATGCGAGATGCAGCGACTGTCGCACTCCTCGGGAACTACTTGGCCATACGGGAGCTGTCTGCTCCCGCATCTTGTGTTTCCGCGCGGCGACGTCGACGGCGCGGCGTCGCGACGCGGACGCGGCAGACGATAGAAGTAATACCATAGAAACGTGCCCTGTAGTTATATCACGCATGCGCATTAGTGTTCAGTAACGTATCCAGCACATAATCTTGACTATTCCACTCGTGAAATTAAAACCAACAGTGTTTAACTACACATACAAAATGCCCCAAGAAGCACGGTGTATCTCAAAAAGTTTATCACCTTTTCTATCTGATTTTTCTTACCGCTTCTTCCTACTAGCCAATCGTAAACTGTGACTCATGTATCTTAGGAGGCGGTATATATAGATCGCTATACCGACGTCCAATAAACAGCGTATGTACTATAACATAACCTCTTTAATTTAAGCATAGCTTTAAGTTATTTTCAATATTTGGCTCATTTTTGAACTCTGCTTGACATACTATATGGTCATATTAAATACCACTCGTACATTGGAAATTCCCAGATAAATCTCCTCCTCGCTTAACGAGTCTGAAATTTATCGACAATTTCGAAAGAATGTTTGGTATCGATGATAATTTTTTAATATTATCATATTTTTAGAATTTTCATTGTGTGTGTGACGAATGAAAACGCGAGATTCTGCTCTGCCCCGGTGTCGTAGGCGGCCGCGCGGCAGCTGTCTGCTCCCGCACCGCGTGCTGTCTTCGCGACGCTGTTGTGGGCGCGGGCGCGGGCGCGGGCGCGGGCGCGGGCGCGGGCGCGGCAGACGCGGCGAGTCGAATGCGCGCCATGCGCTTCGCGACGCTCCGTTGCCGGCGCCCGGCGTCGCCCTTTGGCGGCGTTTCCTCAATAGCGTTCCCCTTTATTGCCCTGCTTCTCCTGCCGAACACGAAGGGGTTCACTCAATGAAGCGAGCCAGCTGCCCGTGTGTGGGTTTACAGGAAGTGTGTGAAATCGCTGAAAAGAAACACGAGCGGTGTAACAATGCAGTTTTTTGGGTTGGGTTGGATGATGAAAGACGGTTAACACGGTGTTATTTATTGCCGTGTTTGGATTCGATGTATTGTTCAATTCGTCAGTGTTAAAAATGTAGAAGTATTTTTCAGTTTTTATGACAGATATTGACACAACGAAAATATAACTACTTGCCATTTTGCCGTAAAATGACCAGTATAATAAGTTTAAACTAATCAAGAGCAATATCACATTAAGGCTATGACATATTTAATATTTTTGTTTATACATTGGTGACTAATCTACTTTACAACGTTCACACAATAGTGTGTTTGGAAATAATCTGTGTCACCATTATCCCTTATTTTATACAATATATTTCATAAATATATTAAATGCTTTAAATATAATTCAACAAGCCTTATATTTTTTGCAATAATGGAAAACACCACTTCCAAGTCTTCACTTCGATATACTTATTCGAAAAATCGTCTACTTTTTATTTCATTAAATTAATACTGTTAAAAATCAATGTTGTTGTTTGTGAGCTGGAATAAAAGCTCACGTTTTCGGTGACCTGGCAATTGCGCATTAATTCATAGCAAAAATATTTCGTTTAAAGTATCAAATATCAATAATATATAAGCAAAGGAAAGAGATACGCTTCTTTTGAACACACTACGTATAATTTCTGATTGAACGTCTAAATACAATTTACAGAACCTCATAAAATGCCTTCAAATGTATTTCATATCTTCTTTAAATAGTCTTCAAGTTTTTATGATTGTTTGCTGTTTTGGTTTAAAATAATTTGGATTTCGTCGCCTTGAGATTAATACTTCAGTGGTCTTTTAAGCTTAATAATTAATTGGGTAGTTCAAATTAAATTATATAAGTGTTACTACAGTGTTTTATATATATGACTTCCTATTATATTGACTTTTTAGAAAATATTTTGTCATTTGTTATGTTGTTGCTTTTTTTCATTAGGAAAGACTTGTCGATTTTGGGCTATTTTAACATATGTGTTTGACTCGCAGGAAAAATAACGGGAAATGTTTCCTGAAAGAAGAAAGAAAGTGGATATGCCTGTGAATATCAAGGTCAGCAATTGAACTTATATTTATTTTGTAAGTTATATTTTATTGATTCATTACTTTTGAGAACAAGGATCTTTATTAGAAAAATAAAAAATCCTGTTCCCTATTTTAGAACATAAAATTGTCTATATTAATTTTATTTGTGAATTCATTAGTCTATTTAAATTTTATTTAGTACTTTTGAACTTTTCTGGAAATCTCAATACCTTGAAATAATCCAATTGTTAACGGATCGTAGTAAATTTTATTGTGCAGCCATCATATAGTTGATTTTTACTTCTTCACTACGTTCATGTGTAATAAATTGATCGTTCCACATCAGAATTCAATTTGCTACCTTTTCAAAACACCCTTCTCAAAATCTTGAGAGCTGAGAAAATAAGAAAATGTTTCAAAAACTTTTATATCAAACCACCGCGAATCATGTATTCAACGGAAATGGTGACATAGTATACGAAACAATTTCACTATAAAGAGAATTTCATGAGCGTTCACAAATACAATTTCTCGCCTCTCAGACAACTTTTGTCGGAACTTCGACGAATTTTCTGAACATATTGAGGAGCTGTCCCTCCCACCCAGCCGTTCGCCTCCCGCATTGCCTATTCTCCTTCCCCTCCGCGGTCCTTCCCTCATTCCCTCCCTTCAGAGGCACTTTCGCGAACATGGAAACAGACGAGGGGGCGGAACTGGTAGTAGGACGAGGCTGACGGAGCGGCATGTCACCGTTTCCATACTCGGCACCCCACGCCCCGAGCTGTGCTAATTTCCCATTTCCATGAGGGCCTAAGTGCCATGATCGTCACTAATATGTGGTTTATGTCAATGATAAATGCTAGGAATATATTAGAATATCCCTGACAGATGCAAGTACATCTTCGTGTTGAATAAGCGCAGACATATATTCACTATTGTGACATTATGTTCACATATCTATCACGTTTCCAAAAATTAACTGAATTCAATGTATTTTGGAATACAAGCACTTTTTGAATTTGTGATCTGGTTGCGCTCGAAGCTTATTATTTAGGTCGCAGTGATTCGGTAAATAATGTTTCGAATGTTTCAGTGATTATATTCTTTTGTTTTAAAACACATTGAAAAATCATGTTTGAATTTCATCAATAATCCTGCCCTGGAGAAGTAGTACAGACAAATAAAGATTTGTGGTAAAATTTCAACGTTGATTCTATTAATTTCGAGTGCTCAGACTACTAATACATTTGTAATTACTATTACTTTAGGTGCATTATGAAATAAACCGTGAAATATAAGTAGGGATATTAGATAATTTATCCGTTTCATTCTAACACAATGATGCTTAACTCAATCCTACTCTTAACGTAATGAAAATTCATTACCAAAACTTTATAAATACAGTAATCCAAAAATTGAGTGTATTGTTAATTATTCTGTATTGTTGCATATTTTATTATTGTAATATTTTTGGCAATCATTTTATTAATCAGCATCAACACATGTAGTTTCAGAGTTGCTCATTTCTATATATTGTGAAATGTAAAACTAAATTTTAAGTGTGTTTTAAATATATATCACTAATATATATATATATATATATATATATATATATATATATATATATATATATGTATATATACACACACACACTTTCACTATGAGGGATATCGTGTAGGATTGTATTCGAAGATCTTTTGAAAAATTTGGTTTATCAGAGATAATTTGTTATAAGTTCCAAATATACAATAATGTTCAATCGCTAAGAGAACGTTTAATTGAACAACTTTTTTCATCACATACAGTAACATCTTCCTTAGTACTTCTTACCAAGTTTCTTCAAAATTTTGTCAAAGGAAAAATTATTCTCTCATTTTCTTACGCGCAATCCAAACGTTGCTCTTCAATAATACTTACAACTTCAAATCCAAGACTTTCAAGGTGAAAAATGTAATTGGCATGTGATACTATTTTATTACAAAGTAATGTCAGCATACTAATACTAAACGGCCGGCAAAAATTACAAGATATGTTTAAAAATTGGAAAACGCAACGACCGTATTCAAAAGTTATTTTTGATATTGTTTCTTGAATTTTTGTGCAACTGTTTTGAAACAGAATAGTTAGTTGTGTATTGTTTTTTCTGTTAACACAAGAATTAAGGCAAGAATTAAACAACAATGTCAAAAATCATAGTCTTCTCTTGATTATCTTGAATATACCAACCTAATTTCGCACTTTTAATTATTTAGTTGTGCAATGTATATTTAAAGTTACTATTATAAACTATTGCGAGTTTTAAACACATTCAGTATGCAAAACAAATGTTTATCTTCAATATATTGTAGATTTTAAAATTATTCCTTAACCTTGCCAGAGTATAATTATTGTATCCTTGACTAATATGTCGCCTAGATATCTCGTGTCATGATTTACTGTGATTTAATTAAAATTCAGTGATTCAGTTCAAATGATTCAACGCTGTCCTTTCGTTTTGTAATCACTCTTAGTTTCTTGAAGTCGGAAATCTCATTTTGACTTTAACTTTTTAAGTTGTGGATTTCAGGAATAAGAAAAGATCTCTGCTTGGCCTGTATTATCAGCACTTTTGGGTGAATTGGGAATATTACTTACTTATGCAAATGCTTTTGTTAGAATAAATTGCTACTGAAAAAAAATCCATTAGTAATCTATAGGAATTATGTGTGTTTTATAATTAACTTTTTACTGGTAATTATTAAATTTGCCGAACCATTGCTGAAATATATCAGAATTACAAACATGTATACGCCTCGTCTACGAATCCCATTCGATAAGTCGGCTGATCATTAGAAATAAATGTATATGTATTTGAATTCCAATCGCACTACTTACATTACATTTAATGTTTTTTCATTCACTATTATTTACAGTAATATTTATTTTATGTTCTTTTGTTTGCGTGTCATTATTATATTAATTGATTTATTACATAACGCCATTATTATATTACATAATTATATTACTTGTGTCATTGTGATTAATGAATCATGTTATTGTGATGGTGATATCAACCTTTTTCGTCTTATATTACACAAGCGAGCAAATTTATTTAACTAATAAAGAGTCAGGCTTTCTCCAGAAGCATTCAGTTGGCAATCCCATGGTAATACACAACACGCAAAAGACAACAATGAACTCAAGAAGGAGCCGGTATGTGCGCCCTTCGGACATATTTTGTTTTAAATAAAACCCGGAAGACCTTAAACCGAGCGGGCGGTTTGAGCAGCGCTGAGTCGCGGCGGGGGCCGTCCCCCAGCGCCCCGCAATGGCCCCTGCGCGTTTGGGGCCCGCGCGCGCCGCGGCGCTCGGCGCTCCGTCTTTCCCCCTTTTCCCGCCGCGGCGCCTCCTTCGCCAGCGGCGGCGCGGAGCGGTGTGG